TGCATTTTGGCTTCTGCCAATTCGATGGGTAATTTCGTGACTAGGGCACCAATGCTGGTGTCCAGGTAGCAGATCCTGCACCACAACAGAACATCGAGCACAAGGGGTGCGATCTCTTCGGTCGCCGCAGTAGGGTTGGTCAATTTTGCTCTCAGAATCTTCGGAGCAGCTTCGAGTTTGAGCTTGTCGCTGACCCTCTTCATAAGAATCACGTAGAGCTCTCCCTTGAGACAGGCTGCTGCTGCGTTCTGCCCTGCTACAAGCGCTGTAGGCCAGTACTCCATGATCAATTCCAAGGCGTAGATTGTGTGTCGGTGTGTTGGTGGTATGAACAGCAATTCGAGGCCACACTTTGCAAGCGAAGCAGTGATAGCTTGACGATCGAGTTCCTTCGGTGGTGGCTCGCTAGCCCGGGCATCGACAGCAATGAGCATCAGTATGAGTACCAAAGCTTTTGTCGAGACTGCTGGTGTTCCGGCTTCCATTGAAGGTGCGATGTTTTCGCGCATCAGCGATGAGATGGTAGGTATGTATGGGAAATACAAGCGTACCCAGGCAAGTCTGTTGCACATTAGCAGAGCTCGTTACCAAGCCATGAAACACACCTGGCATCAATGACATCGATCAGAGGTCCTCTCATAAATCTGATGGGATCTGGAAGTGATGTCGCCAGCGACGAGCTGCATGTTGCGCCATATCTCCTGTCGCGCACTATGACTGTCGACATAAGATGGTACGGATCAATCAATGCTTGATACTTCTCGTGATCCTCTGGTCTGTCACGACGTGGTAGACGAGACGCCACCTGATCAATCTCATCTTCGACCTCAGCAAGGACGAAGCCTGCAATATCGGTATCGTCGTGTAGATCATCATCCTCTATGATGTCTAGAGGGTTCTCGTTGCTGATGGACTTGGTTCTGCCGTTCTGTGTCGCATCCTCCTGCGCTGGTTTCCTTTTGCTGCTCGGTCGACCGAGGATGGTCTTGTCGATGATGCATTCCAGGCCTTGCTGCTGACAGCGTATACAGGCTCGTCCCGGTGGTTGCGGTGATCCCGAAGGCTGGATCGACTCATCCTGCACCGGCAATATGCATTTGATCTTGCGTGAGCGACAATTGAGGCATATCAGCTTCGAGTAGCTGCCCCGCGCCTGACGAACAGGCTTGTTGCCGCTGAGGTTATTCATGGATGGCTGTTGCGCACAAAAGCAGGTGAAAGCGTGTCATCGAGTGATGTGTTCTCCTTGAACATAGTCTCGCGCTCCGTGGCAGCTAGTAATGAGTGTGAAGGATGTAGGGTGTGGCTCGCACTCCTGGCCGCTAGTACTGCGTGCGAAGGATGTAGGGTGCACCTAGTTTTCAGGCTGCTGAATTCCGTTACTTCATGCGGGCCATGTGCTTTTCCATTTACGGCGATGGCTTCGGTGGAGTGATGTTCAGTAATATACTTTGTAGAGTCTATCTTGATGCGCTACTAAATTGTCATATTTCCTAAGCAGCTCACCTACTGGGTTCTCCTTCCACTGCAGAGCATCATCCAGCAACAGGTGAGTATAAGCGAAGACACCAGCATCGAATAGGCTTATCTCGTCTTCGAAGAACCACCTCTTGTCTCCCAATAGCGTTGACAAGGCTGAGAACGCCTCGTCTGCCTCGCGCAAGAGCTCAGCATCCAAGATTGTCCGGGACGTGCTCTTCCTTATCTCGAGATCGGCAGCTTGGCGCAATTGGTACTGTAAAGCCAGCTGGACGACTGTGTTCGAGGAGCATGGTCTGACGTATAGTCTGTGCATGAGTGAAGAGTTCGGGCTGAGAAGGTAGAGCTGGTACAGCTGGTAGATGTCAGTACGCGATTGAACGATGCCGTAGGGGACACAAACCCATGCCAAGCGTATGCGACCGTCCAGCAATGAAGAGTATGCTTCATATCTGACATCCTTAGACTCTGCTACCACGCTATCGTGTGAGGCTTCTTTGACAATCCATTTGCGCAGAGCCTTGATCGATACAGCAGCGTCTCCCTGAGCTGGAATCACGAATGGCAGTGACCCAGATGGCGACGCGTGATTGTTTGATGGAGCAGTGACATACTCAACTCCTCGTATCCTCATATATGTCTGACGTGTTCGTCAGGACAGCTCTGTTTGGCTATTTCCGCGCTCTTACCTGCCACTTGAGGCATGATGGATTGAAGCTTGGTGCATTTTTGTCCGCACTCTCAGCTGTCGTGAACACGTACAGAACATGCTTGTCTGCTGGTCGATGGAGGGATACTGGCAGCTCGTTCGAAGTGTAAGTCGTCAACGGGAACTTGTCGAAGACGCGCTTGAGGGCTGGTGGCACAGCAAAGTAGCTTCGCTTCGGCGATTGAGCCTTGGACTTGTCTCCTTGGTCATCGTGGGACATCGCTCTCCATCGCAGATGGTAGAGTGTATCATCAAATAGTCCTTCATGAGCAAGCTACAATAATTGCGGCCGGCAACCAAATTGAGCTTAGCCTGCATAACCAACAGCACCTCATCGTCATCAGGCGAGGTCGGCCAATGTTGTTCCCGCATCCGTTCGTGTATTAGAATGCTCGCATGCTCATCTCTGTGGTTATCATGACCGGTCAACATGACTTGGATCATCCCAAGATTGACCAGTCAACGCAGCATGTTGCTGAGTCTGCCAGCAGAGCTACGCGAACGCATATTTGAGTTCGCATTAATGTCTGAGAAGCCTTTGGTGACGTTTCACATCGATGAGTACCAGCAAGAGGACTATCAGGAGGCTAGACAACCACCTTTGCTTACGGTCAGCCGTCAAATTCGACAAGAAGCCTTACCTTTGTTCTATGCCAGCAACGACTTCATCTTCTTCACTGAAGGAAGAAAGGCAGATGAGTCGTGCTGCTGGGTGAAGAGCATCCAACCATATCTCGACCACCTTAGGGGTGTAACCTTCTGGATACGTCACATCAGCTCGATGCCAACACATATCGCCTCGCGCGGTGCAATCGCAGTCACAATGCACTTTGCGCCGAGACGAGAAGTATGGAGTGTCTGTCCGCAGTGGAGATGGATCAGTCCGCTCAGGAAGCACGACGATGCTGAGGTAGATGCTGAGTTTCTGATACACAAGTTGCAGTCTCTCGTCGATGCGCGAGCGGATCAGCAGAGCTCCGAGAGCTTCACTGCGCTGACTGGATCACTTCGAAAGAGCTACGTTGATCACAAAATGCATCACACTTGAATACATGAGCTAGCGAGCTGTGTTGAACGAAGGTTGAGAAGAGCTGCACTCACAGGATGTCCGATCACTGTCTAGGTCTCCCACGCAACATCAAGGATCTTCTACTAGCAGTACAACTATACACTTGTGACAGTGCGGTCGCACGACAATTCGCGCACTCATCTGGTCTGCACCATTTGCAAGCTGTCCGCACTCACGCTATGCTCCCCAAACTCGACTCTTCCCCTCTAAAGCCTAGCCGCGATCCACGACTGGATGAGCTTTGCGTGGTCATCCTTCGATGGCAGGTGCAACATACGAGTAGTGATGAAGTCCTCGTGTCCTGCACCTGGCTGGATGACCATCTCTGCCTTAGGATGGATGCTCTTCACGAGGTTGCCGAATCTGACAATCGAGTCGATAAGCAGCTCAACCTCTCCACCCCAGACAATGACATCTTTCACGATGGTCGGAAGCTTCTCGAACCATGTGGTAGGCGCCAATGCTGCCTCCTGGTAGTTGTCTGATTGCGTGTTGCCTACTACTCGTCAGTCATGGTCAGCTGCACGAGGGATACACATACCGCGGTATGCCTTGCTCCACCTGGTTCCGGCAGCTGGCGAAACGATATCACTGTTGGCATTGGTGTCTGCACTGCCACCAGCTGGCATCCATTGTATCCAGGGACTGATCAAGACAGCTCCAGCAAATGGCTCCTTGACCAGCTGGCTGATGTCCTTCACCTGAGAGTGAGGATGAAGAATGTGCGAAAGCAATGCGACCGTCAAGTTACCGCCAGCCGAGTCACCACCAATGAAGATCTGCATCGCTTAGTCGAGTCGGTCAGTGGAAGCTCTAACATACCGATGATGGACTCCTCTTCTGGTCGACGAGCAGATGCTCCAATGCCTCAGAAGCTTGCTTCAATTGCCCTGGATACTGCATCTCTGGAGCCAGAGTGTATCCCAGTGCAGCAATTGCGACATCATGGTCCTTGGCCAAACCCTTCTGCAAATCAATCATGAACTGCCAATGTCCTGTGCCACATGGCAAAACATATCCTCCACCATGGAAGAATAGAATGACCTTCTTGGCTGAACGGCTACCCAACCAGTATAGCTTCACGCCGCTCTTAAGTGTCTGAATGTCTGGCTTGACTCGATTCCGTCCAGTGAGCTGTTTGTACACGCCCTGCGTTGTACCAAGCACGTACTGCTCTTGTGCAACCGAAGACACCAACAGGAATGTCCTTATACCCGTATACAATGCATCTTTGATCGCGTTCTTCTGTTTCACACCAGTAATGAATGGCTGTGTGAGCAAGCGGAGAATGACTGCGAAGATGATTCTGCCAACATTTGGCAGCAGGAGGAGCCGCTCGACGATTGTTGGTGCTTTTGGAGCCATGGTGCTTGTTGGTAACGAAGACTTCTTGTCGACAGACTCTCAAGCACTTTACAATTGAGCTGCCTGATCGTCTTCATGCCGAGGTGTATCGCCCGCAAGCGGAACCATTGCGCGCGCAAACGCAATTTCGTCTGGTCTTGTCAACATTCGGCTTGTCGAGCGCTATGCACAAGGAGACATCGTGCAGATGTCCCATGCCTGCTAAATCACATCTAACGGCATGGTCGATCTGCTGTGTCACCTTGGAGGGCTGCCCTGCATCTCTGGTGTCACGGTCGATATGCGGTGTCCACAGTCGCCGGCAGGCTTCTCGCCTCGATCGAGACCCTTGGTAGCGAGTCTACTAGAGCTCTCTCGATCTCGTGGCCTGCTCGAATGGGCAAGATGGCCGAGTGGTTATGGCGTGTGACTCAAGCTGCTGCTTCATCGATTTAATCGACGTGGATTCTCATGGGCTTTGCCCGCAGGGGTTCGAATCCCCTTCTTGTCATTATCCTTTTGTTCTATGTGTCGAGGTGATCTTTTTGCATGCCGGAGCAGCAAGGAGGTCAGCTTCAACGTCTTCAGGGAACCAGTTAGCCTCGACGACGGTCCTAGGCCCATAGTAGCTGAAATACGGGCATCGTAAACCTGTCAACGAGTGTTACGTCTGATGTGTCTGGACTAGACAAAGTATCTAACAAGTGGCAGCCGTACTGTCCTGCATGTCAGTACGACTAAGGACGATAATATCGATTTACTGATCTCATTTGTTATGAGCATAGAAGAACATAAAGCTATTCAGAGCGGATAGCTGGTTTTCTATAGGCAGCGAGACCAGATGACCACTTACTGACGCTTAGTTCATATTCCAATGGGACAACCTTTACCTCAAGAAAGGCTCGAGGAAGAGTATACCATGGTACTTGGCTTATGAGGAGATGGCCCAGACGTCTGATCGAAAATGGCTCGTGATCAATATCGAAATTGTGGAATCCCCAACGACGAAGCTCAGGAGGAGGAGTAAACGAATACGACGCTGATGATGAAGATGATCCTCACACTGAGCAGGATGAATTGGCAGCGCAGTTCGTGTTATTGCATTGATGTTGGCCAACGCGGATGGCACCAGCATGTATCAAGGGGTTCTCGCGAACTGTCAACCACCGCATGGATGCCCGTAGTGACAACACACAAGGGCATTGATCGGGCTCCGAGCAGTAACTCGTACTGTCCTTGTACAGTGCACGGATGCCTCGAGTACCTGTGTATCGGAGGCGCCAATCTCGGGATTCCAAGATGCAGTGTGCTATGGTCGTGGTCGGGTCGTGATTGAGACAATCGATCTGCGAGAGTTCTTGTCTTCATCCACCATGCTGACCAGTTTCGCCACCACATCTTTGAGGCGTTGCTAGAGCACAGCGGTTCGTGGGTTATCGAACTACAGATATTCGTGCTATCTTCTGATGGCGGAGATATACAAGTAGAAACGTATCCCGGCACACGTCACATACCGTTGCGCCTCGGTCTGCGTCGTCATGCCACAGCTCAATCGCTGGACTCATCCTCTGAGTCAGAGGAAAGTACAGCTGAAGTTGCATGCGACAGCTCTTCGATGGCAATCTCACAGCCACGCTGCACAGCTCGTTTCTCCTGGTCGCTGTTGGTAATCTCAGCTTGTGCCACAACATCGCGAAGGAAGAATTGCAGTCCCTGGACCATGCCACTCGACGCCTGTCCGAAGACAACTTGCACATTCTGCTCGAAGTCCTTTTTAGACACTCTCAATAGCACCGTCGTCAGCAAGACCTCCGCAAAGGTCTGTGCAAGTGCAGGCATCATGGCGAACTCCAAAGTCTTCAACGCTGCAATGCTGATGTGATCGTCTGCGATCAGCGTTCCGTACAGACGAGCTGTGTTGACGACAGCAGTCGTGCTCAGCTGATCTTCCGCATCCGAAGTGATCTTCCTCAGGATGTCCCACAGCGACGACTGCAACGCTTTCTGAAGCTTCGGCTCGGAGCACAGCTTGCGTGCGATGAAGGTGTAGTAAGGGTTGTAGACGCTCTCGCCGCCGACACAGTGCAGCAAAACCTTAGCCACTTCCAAAGTCTGCTTGCTCTTTAGGTGCAGCTTCACTATCCGTACATGGGCATCCTTGAAGTCCGATGCTGACATGATCGCAATAAAGATCGCTCGTCGTATGTCGGTGTTCATGCCTTGAGATCTCGCGAGCTTCGCCAGGTTGACATGACCAGGCGTCTCAGACTCATATCCGTCGTCGATCTTGGATTGCACAGGCTTAGCAGCATCATGCCATGAAGCACCCACAAGCCACCACTTACCTCTCTTCTCAACATCTTCAAGATCACTCAAGGACACTTGTAGAGGCTCTGTAGCTCGAAGAGATCTAGTGTTCAGGGTTCCGATAGTCTTTTTCATGCGCACAACATGCTCGACTGATCCCGTCTTCATCTTGTTGTTCTTCAGGTCATTGATCGTCTCAATCATAAATTTCGTTCTGACAGAGAGGTTACCCTCACCGACTTGTGCCACCGATCGTGTAAGCAGCAGAACTATATCCTTTAAGGCAGTCGGGTCATCCTGTCTCAGCTGTACGCCAGCGGTACGCACGATCCGTAATAGGAGTTCTGTATTGTCCTCGGAAAGCTCGGCCAGCAGTGTCCGAATGTAGTCGAACACAATGGTCGGACCCACGAGCTGCATTATGTATAGGTTGGCCAGAAAAGCGAGCAGATTCAGCACCTGCTTACCTTCGCTTGAGACCTTCACAGCCTCTGTAATCCTCTCCAGTAGCTGAGCACCAAAATCAGCTCCCACGACCTTGTAAACAGCAGTAGCGAAGGCACTATGCAGGATGAGGAAGGTCTCGTTCAGCGTCGATGGACTTGTGATTAGTCCCATGAAAAGCTCAATCAAGGTCGATGTGACATGCTGTCGTGCGTTATTGGTGTACATATCCTCGATAGCTGACAGGATAGACAAGAAGTTGGCCTCAGAAAGACGGTTCAGTTGACCTTGAACCTGTCGCTTTAGCTGAGTGAGGTCCTCGGGAGCGGGTCGTCGTAAGGATGGTGGTATGTATTTGGCTGTATTCGGCATTGGAGCAACATAGGGATTCTCTCGTTTCTTCTTAACAGGCGGAGCTTCATCGTCGGAGGCGTCGAAGTCGCTGAGTTCGTCGTCCGAGAAAGGATTCTCAAGGCCGTCCATGTCACTGTCGGGGTCGTTCTCTTGGTTGGCTTCATGGATATCCTCTGCCTCCTCATCCTCCTCAGACTCACTATGTGCACTCTCGACAACCTCATCTGCCGCTGCAGCCTTCCGCCTCTTCGTTATCAGCCAGTCGTCATCTTCTGCTCTCTTTCTCTTCCCAGGTGCAGACTCTTCACTGTCTGAGCCATTTGCCAACCAGTCAAGACCATCTTCTTTTAAGGCTGTCGACTTCTTACTCTTGATACCAAGCTTCTTCTCCAGCGCTGCGATCTCGGCGTCATCTTCGTCCAAGCGTTGTTGTACCGCTCGCGATATCCTTGGGGCTGCGATCTTCTCGCTCTCATCAGACGAGGTATCGAGTGTAGCTGGTCTTTTCAAGATCGACTTCAAGGTTTTCCGTGGCAGGTCTGATGGCTTCTGAGACGCTGCTGAAGGCGTCTTCTGCTTGATTGGCTTCAATGTAGCATCCTTCTTGCGTGACGCGAGTTCTGGCTTGCTGTGGTGTGTGGTCTTCTTTTGTTGTCTCTCGGCTTTGCGCCTGTCCTTGCGACTTACATCTTTGCGACTACCCTTAGCAGACGGTCCTGCTCCATTGAGCTTATCAAGAAGGATAGACGGGATCTTAGGACCAGTGTGTCCTGGTCTGCCCATGGTGCAGTGTTGAGCGAGGTGGAATGCCGAGTTCAGAATAATTTCTGGAAGGATCGTCGTCATTCTGAAACGCAGGGCAAACTCAATGAACTTCTATTCGAAACCTGCCATAACGACAAGATTTTATCCGTCCTCGGGCCGTGGAGCAGGCCAACGCAGCCAACCGATTCGGAGCGATCGAGCTCACAAGACGATGAGTAACTCGGACACAGCCTACCTTTACGACGCAAGCAAGGCCACAAGATCGTCTGGTTTAGCTGACAGCGCTCTTCACTCGTACGGAGAATGCATCACCATTCAACGATGAACCATGCACACATTGTGCAGCCGAAGATCTGGATCATGATACAAATCATCCCTTCACTGAACTACTAGGTAACTGATCTCTCCAGCGCAGCTCCGCCGCACCCACTTTCTCCTGACCGGCGTCTTCTTATTGATATGCCATCTGATAGCACAAGCCGAAACGGCCAATATCGAGTTGTGCAAGACCTCTGAGAAGCTGAGCTCGGAAGCCAGGAGCGTTGAAGTTGAAGAGCTGGCCGATCGACCACGCATGCTACGTCCATCTACCCTCTATCTGCAGCAATAACCTCTGTTTCATAAGGCACCTTGTGCAAGTCCGCCCAAGACTGTACACCTCCTGGAGTTACAATCTCCTTGACTTGGGTACTGTTAGACTCGCAACACTGAAAGTTGCAAGTCCACCAAATCATCGTCCTGAACTTGTCACGGAAGTACCTCTTCTGATGACAGTAGTGCCTCAGACCTTTGTCGTCAGCACCATTGTCCGTGGTAAAGCGAGTATGTACACCCTGTTCAATCAGTAGCTGCTTATCACTGAGGTCGATACTTACCAGCTCAACCTGCACGTAGTCTCGCTCAGGGGACTGATGAGCTCCGGCCTTGAAAATTGGCGACAGGTACATATCATCGGCGATACCATCCCAGAACTTGCAGCGTTGGCCTCCGTGGTCGTTCATAGGAGCACACCTTTGCAGCTTCATCTCGGCCACCTTGTTGTCGCCGTTGTCGTAGACCTCTGCTGAGAGGTAGAATGGATTCGGTGTTCCATAGTCAATCAGCTTCTCTAATCGGTAGATGTCGACATGGCAGACCTCGTCGGATCTTTCTCTGGTATATGCGGGTGGAAGACTGTCCTTGTCCTCGCTGGGCGCAGCCAAAGAAGGAGGAAGCAGAGCAATCAAAGCAAGAGTAAGCAGCTGCATGATGGTGATGTTAGGAAACAAGGTGCGCAGCCTGACCAGCAAGAGCTTTATACTTGGCAACGGTGCAATGCTGTTTTCGTCAACTTGCTCGGAACCATGCCTGGGTATGTGCCTCACTTCAACGAAGAGAATGTGGAAAGGTATGATAGTCAGTTATATTGGCATCCACGACATTGGCTACAGCATAGCTATTGTGGAGGCATCGCCAATGCTATCTTGTCATTCATTGGGAAACTCTCGAGGAGACGGACTGCATTCGATGCACTTCTGTTATAACCCTCTCGTGGTTCAGAAGGCCGTGGAGTTGCCAGTAATGATAGCAAGGCCAGCATTCCTTGCTCAACTCGACAGTGCTATGATGGTCATGTGGTCGTCCTGCAAGGTTGTCCCAGAT